CTCCAGAAGAATCCAGCTTCTGTCTGTAATGACAGCCAGGGGTCCATGCACAAGAGGAGCGCTCTTAACAGGGATCTTCTAATTCTTGGGGAGAAGTTTAAGATCCAGAATTATCTTGTGTGTAGGACACGATGCCCCGGAATTCTTCATCTTCTTTCTGGATTCATTCCCTGTTTCATGGGGATTGTGGGTTTTCCATTTCTTGGGGTAAGCCATTCAGCCCTGAGAGCTATATGATTAATCCTGACTTCGGGAAAAATACTTTGAAGAGCTCTCTGGACAGTTGACCCCAAACCCCACTCCGTCGCCATTGGGACTGGTAAATGTGGACTGCGACCAGGTAATGATGGGGTACGTGACCCACAGAACAGCTGCCCAGGGCCGCAGTCTCTGAGGGGAATAAGAGAAATGTGTTCAGAAGTGACTTTGCCAGCCCCCCTGACCTCAGTCACATTCCCAGCTTGGAGAGAAGCCCCACCTTAGGAGCAAGAACAGAAGAGCTCTGTTCCGTGAGCTGGGGAGGGAGTCCTAGTGTGCAGACGTTCACGGGCTCCACAGAGATGCCTTTGATGAGAAACCACTCCACCCAGGACAGACTTGCCCGAGAGTGACCAGGCTCCCCTGGGAGCCAAGGAAAGTTATTTTTTTTTCTTGTGAATGATCCTCTGTCATGTGACCATTTCAGAGTGAACCGTAGCCCTGTGGCCCTTTAAACATCAGTTATATTCAAAAGCATAGAGCTGGATGTGGTTATAAAGATTGTTTAATGTACCCCCTCATCTTACAAAACAGGAAACTAAGACCAACCACTGTAAGCTTCAAAGTAAGTCATGGTGCTGGTCTCATGACTCTCTCTTTCATCCCACTGTTAATTTCTGGTGAAGAAATCATTAAGCTTGATATTTTAAGAATGAACAATACCCTGAGATGGTACCAAAGCATGGATAAGTACCTGACCTCTTGTTGGTGCCCTGGAAATAGAAAGAAGGACCAAACCCTTGTGCATTGTCTCTATGTCATGGACACTTAGGAATCATGTGGTATTTCATGTTTGATAGAAAATTGCTCCTTAGCTCTCTCATCCTGTGCCTTGCTAGCACATTTCCCTTCTTCCCTGTGGTAGTCATCTAGTGAGCCAGTCCACACAACTGCATGTCTGTGTGATGCATGTCAATTTCACACAACTGTCCAAGAGCTTGACAGAGTAGACTGGCTAGACCCAACTTACTGGAGCACCCAGCTAGTTCAGAGACTGGCTCCATGACAGAGTGAAAGGACCAGCTGCTGCGTGATCTCTGTCAGAGACCGCTTTGGTGAGAGGATGCATGTCTGGGGAAGGAGCAGGGCTCCTCTATGCAGCCTGTGTGCACACAAGAGCGCCCCTGCTCTGCATGTGGGATGAAGCCGCTGCTCCTGGTCACCAGGGCAAGAAGAGGCCAATGGAATATGGGGCCCCATGGTGAGTCCAGTTGACTCAGTTTCTTTTGGGCAAGGCCTTCTTCAGTCAACATTAAAACCCCCCAAAGAAAGACTTCCTCCTCTGAACGTGGAATTAAACTTTTCCACTTTACTTTGGGGGAAGATAGGTGGGGGGAGGGGCTCTTTTTCCTATGATTCTCTTGACATCAATTAGTTTTTACCCATCAAGCAATTTTTAAATTATGTTTTGGACATGGGACTCTGTAATGAGGAAAAGAAAGAAATTTAACAATAAATAATATTATGTCTACAAATGAGACAATGGAAACAAATGTAAAATTCATACATGCTCACCATAGAAAACATGGGAAATACAGAAAGGTGTTTTTAAAAAGCAGCCATAATCTCATCACCCAAACACATTCTTGCTAATTCAAGAGAGCAGGATCCTGTGTTTCTTGCATACTGCCATATCCTTAGTAGTAGGAATCATGCTTAGTACGTAGTAAGTGCTTAATAAATATTTGTTGACTGAATCTTGCTTAGAATTTAGTAAGTGCTTAATAAACATTTGCTAGTACTTTGGTGCATTTATTTCCAGTCTTTTTAAATCTCTATTTTACATGATTATAGTAGACCCCATTAATAACATATCTTTTTTAACTTACCATGATAACACAGATATGCTGATGCCATAAAAGTTCTTTATAAATACCATTCTTAAAGATACTTAGTATCTCTATCTTGTATGAACTTCATTTACTTATTTACTTTTATATTACTAAATATTTTGTGGAAATATACATTTCAAAAGTACTTTGTGAAATGAATTGAATTCTGCCAACGTGTATAAGAAATTAGAATAAATAAATAATTTCATTTTTAAAAAAGTACTTTGTGAATAAGGCTTGCCTTTAGAGAAGTAGATCAATTGGCTGCTGTACTAGGCCCAGCCATGTTCAGTGGAACCTAAAAAGTTCCTGAAATCACATTCTATTATTTAGTTCCAGAGTCTCACACTGGAGTGCATGAGGAAATAATGCCAGAGGGAAGTCTTGAAATTAGAATCAGGACATGACCTCATCAGACTCTTGTAATTAAAGAATAGCTTTGGAATATCTTGTATGAAGAAATTAACTCAAAGAAGTAGCTATTATGTTAAATTCTGGAAATACAGAGTCTTGAGAATTCAGTTCAATTAAAGCATTTTCTTATATGTAATCCCAGTTTTCTCTCCTTTTCAACAATTCCCTGGTTTAATATTCAGTTTAAAGATGTGATTTTTGTTCAGGTTAATACAGCGCCATCTGGTGCTAAAATGAAAAATGAGCATGTAGGAGTAGGCTAGGATGACTTCTCTGATTTCAAATGCTGACTTCTATAAGAGATGAAAGGGAATCGATATGTGGTTTCTTGCAGGATTCCCTGGTGTCAGAACTGGGGAAAAGCTTTAGCTGACTTCTAACTCCAGATTGCTACAGCATACGCTTGATTAACTCAACCATCTATTAGAAATTCCTATCAAAATTCAAAAGGAATATACAAATAGGGAGAAATGCCTATCAGAAAAGGAAACGATATAAAGGGGCCACATTCTGAAATTTTCTGTATGACCTAGTGCAGGTGAGACTGGACTTAAGGAAGGCTCATCTACCACACAGGAAGGGAAAGCATGGGAAAGGAGTGAGGCTGATGTTGGCAGACCCCAATACCTACCAGCTCACAGTGGCAGGAGGTGGAGGTGAGGATGGGTTATGGGTCACTTAGGGAGAGGTGAAAGTGGATCTTCCCTCTGCTTTGGAAACTGCACCAGATTTTGGCAACTGCACTCACTTGGCACATGAAATTCAGGCCTGTTATGCCTGCCTTCCAAGAAAGGGGTCCGGTAAGTTAGAAAGTGAAGTCATGTACCCCCAACAGACTTCCCACTGGACCACTAAATATCAGAAAGCATTTCAGCCATTGACTGTTTCCAAGCCCAATAATTAATCCCTGAAGATTCTAAATTCAGCCAATCATTCAAATGTGACAACCACAGAAAAACATTCTCAGACGTGCAACTATTCGGAGAGCTTTCCATCCATGTAGCTTTCCCCAAAGAAAACACATCCAGCATTTAAGGATTGTGGCAGCAAGTAATGAAACCAATATAACTCAAAAATTAGGCTGTCTTTGTACCTAGTAAAGATATATTAGAATAACTGCACCACGAAGAGAAGAAAATTAATACCACTGCCCTCAGTATCAACCTTTATCCATATTACTCTCTGTTCCTAAAATCCTGGGAGGAGGAGAGGGAAGAGAGTGACATTGTCTCAGGTTCTCATCTTGCAGAAGGAAAAGTGATGTTTTCTATTTTGTTATTGACCATGATACAGGAATGAGTCCTATAATGTTGTTTAATATATTGCTTAATCACTTATTAGTACAGGATTATTAGTATAAAAAGAAAGAAGTGAAGAAAATTTGTTCAATTTGATAAGGTGAAAAAAGAATAAGAGAAACAGCAAATTTAATCTAATTATATTTTTTTAAAAAAAATTGATACTGGGGTTTGAACTCTGAGGTGCTTTACCACTGAGATACATCCCCAGCCCATTTTTAGTTTTCTTTCTGAGACAGGGTCTCAGTAATTTGCTTAGGGCTTTGCTAAATTGCTAAGACTGGCCTCCACCTTGCAATCCTCCTGCCTTGGCCTCCCATGTTGCTGGGATTACAAATGAGCACCACCATGCCAGGCTAGGAACATTGATTTTTAAAGTTTTAAATTAAATGTTTCCTTATATATAATCAGAGACATGATAAATTATGATATAATGGTATATTAAGAATTGTAATGCATAAATAAATAAATAAATAAATAAATAAATTTTAAACAATAGATTAAATCCTTGCAGATATAAATCAGCAATATAGTAAAATCATAATACTCATAAGTATACTTGGACATTCAATATTTAAAAGTCTATTTCTATAACATTCAGTTAGCAGGTATTTTGTGAATGCCTATTATTAAATCTCAGAATAATCTAACATACTCCTCATCATTTCTAATACATAGATCCCAATCACCTTGTTCATGTAACTCTCTAGTTCTTTTCTTCAATGCAATTATCATTTTCTGCAATTATCTTTTACCTTTAGTTGTTTCCTTGTTTACTGTCTGTCTTCCTTTGCTAAAATTCCATTTCTCTAAGGTCAATGTTCTTGTCTCTCTTGTTCATGGCCAGGCTTTTCCTTCCTGTGTAGTAGATGGCAGGCAAATGAGCCTTCCTTCAGCTCTCTGAACATCTCCCACATCTAACAAAGAAGTTGTCACCAAATTTACTCAATATTTATTGCATTAATTAAATATTTTTGTAATATTTGTTCATTCAATATTGCCTGTTAAATGGATGAATGCATTTCTATGAATGGAAGGATGACAGTAATCCTGAATCCCTGCCCTTGTATTGCCTGTAATTTAGTAAGGGAGACAGACCACCCAACCAGTACCTCCATGATTAGTATTGAAACCCTATTTTGCTAATCAAACTTTTTAATTTTAACCTGCTGAATAAAAGACAGGTATTGTTTTTCAGGAATCTTCCACAACTTCCTCTAAAGAAAAGCCTGGAAAAGTAGAAGCACAAAGTAGTAACTTCCTGTTTCCTAAAGCCTGCCACCAAAGGACACGAAGCAACTCCACCAGTAAGTGTCTCATCAAAACATCTTCAGGAACAGGGCCAAGTGCTTTTGAATATCAGGAATATCAATGATGAGGGGAGGTTTGGGATGGGTGGATCTCTTCTGATCCAGTGGGACCAAACCAAGATGGCAGACTGCTTGCCTCTCTGAGAGCATTCTTTTTGGCTTGTGCAGGTCCTGGCCAGCTAGAGGGCTTCGCATTGGCTTTTTGAGTTTTCTGTGGTAAACTCGTCTTCTAGCTAGGCTCCTACTGCCATGCTGAGAAGATTTGGCCTGGAGGATAAGAGAAAAAGGGTTACTCTTGTTCTGATTTCTGACATTTCCTTAATCCTGAGTAAGCCACTCTGTCTCCCAGGGCTTCTGTCACCCCATCTGTAACATGATGGGGGTTGAGGCTTGAAGACTTCATGATTCGTCATTGCTGCAAATAGACTAGCATTTATATAAAAGTCAGGAAAATGTGAAGAATGCATGAAAGTTTGAAGAAGTTAAAATTACATCAAATTATAATATTAGAAATAATCTATACTGACATTTTCAATTATTTCTCAGTTATTCCTATATAGCCTATAGGAAAATTAGGCACATACATGAACACACATGAATCTATATCTATATCTCATGTCATTGGGAAATCTGTTGTAAAGACTGTTTTTAGTAGACGTATGTCATTTCATTGTATGAACATGCACAATCTACTCTTACTAGATATTTAAGTTATTCTCAGTGTTTTGCTAACATAATCCACGTTGCTGAGTTTGTAAGTGAAATTTTGTTTGTAAGTGAAAATTTGTAACATCTTAAAGGAAATACAGTGTGCTACCATATTCATAGATAGAAATTATTTGAAAAAAAGTTACATCTGCACTGAAATATGTAGATTTTGTTCTTATTATTATTCCCTTAAAAGTATTGACATAACATTTACATTGTATTATGAATAATCTAGAGATGATTTAAAGTATACAGAAAGATTGTACAGGTTATATGGAGATACTACCCTATTTTAGGCAAAGGATAGAAACACATTCATAGATTTTGGTATCCATGGGGATTCTGGGACCAATCCATATGGATTTGAAATGACTATAAACGAGATAGTGGACTGGTGTATGGTTAAGGGCTCACTTCTGAGAAACAATGCACTTGAATTTGAATCCTGCCTCCTAGAACTAAGTATTGATGTGACTTTGAACAAGTCCTTTAAAAATCTCTGAACCTCTTGCTATGGCTTGAATACAAGGTGTCCTGAAGAGCTTGTGTGTGAGACAATGAAGAAATGTTCAGAGGTGAAATTAGATTATGAGAGCTGCAATCTAATCAGTGGATTAATCCACTTGATGGACTAATAATTTGAATGGACTACAGTACTAGGTGTTAATTGTAGACAGGTGGGGTCCGCGCTTGTAGCCCGGTTGGTGCAGACAGAAGGTGGTCCCCACTTACGGCCCAGTCGTCAGAGATGGAAGGCAGCGCAGAACGCAGAGGCCTTGGTTGTGGGTCACCAGACCAAGCTCTGAACACAGCACAAGAAATGGCAAAATAGAGCCTGGGAACCCGCCGCAGACAGGTGGAGTTGAGCACCACGGAGATCTGGCAGCGTAGAGATGCAGGCTTACAGAGCCTCTAAGATTAGAGCGCGCCAGACTACGACCCACGTCACTGCAGGGCACCAGACCGAGGACCACACTCGGGACACAGTGGACGAATAGCCTAGTCCCCTCCACCTCACCAGACACCCGGGCGGGGAATCAGGTGGTCACCATCTTGGAAAATCTACCACATCAGCTTTTGGCGGATGTAGCAGACAGCGAGATTGGCACTAGAACGGGCGTGTGAGTCCCAGCCCCCGCACCCAGCTGTGATAACTCAAAACCTTTCACACCAGCTCTCGGTGGGCGTGAATAGCAGAGCCGAGTGAAACTAAAAAGGTGCCTGATCTCCAACTCCCACTCCCCCAGCTGTGATAACCCAAAACCTTTCTCGCCAGCTCTCTCTCTGGGTGTGGCTATCAGAAGGAATACAGACAGAACAAGTTGCTGGTTTCCAACTGCTCCTCTCCACAGCTGTGATGACCTGGTGACTACCCAACACAGAGGTAGTGCTCAGTTGATCAGGAGTGCAGGGCAGCCAGGGCGACGCATGCCCAGAGTGAACCCAGGGCTTCAGAGAAGAGTCCCAGTAATTGGGGCCTGATGGGCAGGAGAAGTGAGGGAGATAGAGACCAGGAGCAACCCAAAGAGACTGGGATTGGAGAGGCACCCAGCAGGGGAGGGAGTGCGGCCTCACACGATTGCTTCCCCCACCCTGAGGGTAGTGACTCAACCTGGAATGCACAACGCCACCTACAGGAAGAGAAGAAAATAGAATTCTAAGAGTATTTTTTTTCCTTCTTTCCTTTTTTCTTTTTATCTTTCTCTTCTCTCTTTTCCTCTCTTTTTTCATTCCCTTTTCTCTATCTTTTCACCTCTCTTTTTCCTTCTTCTTTTCTTTTTACTTTTCTCCCTCCTTCTCTTCCTCTCCCAACCTCCCAAGTGTTACTATTTCTACTACATATAAATTACTAAATGCAAATAGGTAATTCTTTCTATGCTTCTTATTGTCCTCTCATGCACTTAGTCACCCTAAAGTACCTCCTGTCTATGTCCTGTTAATGACCCCCTTCATTAGAGTTCTCCTCCAAAGTAGCTGATATATTAACCCCCATACCCCACATCTTTCCCCCTAAACATAAAGTCCTACACCTGACCCTCAGTTCTCTATATGCCACCAGAATCTGTATGCCTTTGATGAAGCTAATGAATATATTTTAAACTATAATTAAATCCAACATCTCTAGACATTGTCTCCCATCACAAAGGAGAGATCTCGAAACTATAAAAGAGCAATACTAATTTATAGGAAAAAAATAATAACAAAACAGTCACACATAGCTGGAAAGAAATGTGAGAAATATGAAAAAACAAGGAAAGAAAGAGCCACAAACAAAGCAGGACAACTAAAAAATAGAGGAGATGATAATTTCAGCAGAAAAAATATCAGATAAAGATTTCAAGATATACATGGTCAGATGATCTGGAGTCTTAGGAGGACTTTAGACAGCAAATGCATACAATGAAAGATCACTTTGACAATGAATTACATAAACAAATCCAAGAAGCAAAAGATCAACTCTACAGGGAGATAGAGGTTATAACAAAACAAAACAAAACAAAACAAAACAAAAACAGAAATCCTGGAAATGAAGGAAATAATAAACCAAATTAAAAACTCAAATGAGAGTATCACCAGCAGAGTAGAACACTTAAAAGTCAGAACACCAGAGAACGAAGACAAAGTACATCATCTAGAAAAGATCGTAGACAGCTTAGAAAGGATGATAAGAAACCACGAGCAGAACATCCAAGAAATATGGGATAATATAAATAGACCAAATTTAAGAGTTATTGGGATAGAGGAAGGTATAGAGGTCCAAACCAAAGGAATGAGCAATCCCTTCAATGAAATAATTTTAGAAAATTCTCCAGACATGAAGAATGAAACGGAAATCCAAATCCTAGAAGCCTACAGGATGCCGAATGTACAAAACCACAAGAGACCCACACCAAGACACATTATAATGAAAACACCTAACATACAGAACAAGGAGAGAATTTTAAAATCCACAAGAGAAAAGAAGCAGATTACATTTAGGGGTAAACCAATTAGGTTAACGGTAGATTTTTCAACACAGACTCTGAAAGCTAGAAGATGCTGGAACAACGTATTTCAAACACTGAAAGATAATGGGTTCCAACCAAGAATCTTGTATCCAGCAAAATTAAGCTTCAGGTTTGAAGATGAAATAAAAACCTTCCATGATAAACAAAAATTAAATGAATTTGCAGCTAGAAAACCAGCGTTTCAAAGCATCATTGGCAAAACATTACATGAAGAGGAAATGAAAAATAACAAAGAAAATCAGTAGTGGGAGGTAGTACAACGAAAAAGAGGAAAAACAAATCAAGTTAAATAATAAAAATAAACAAACATGGCTGAAAGTATAAACCATATCTCAATAGTAACCCTAAATGTTAATGGCTTAAACTCACCAATCAAAAGACACAGGCTAGCAGACGGGATTAAAAAAAAAGATCCAACAATATGCTGCCTACAGGAGACTTATCTGATAAGAAAAGACATACACAGACTGAAGGTGAAAGGTTGGGGAAAATCCTACCACTCACATGGACCTTGGAAGCAAGCAGGGTTGTCCATACTCATATCAGATAAAATAGACTTCAAGCCAAAGTTAATCAAAAGGGATAAAGAAGGACACTAAATACTGCTAAAGGGAACCATTCACCAACAAGACATAACAATCATTAATATATATGCCCTAAACAATGGTGCAGCTATGTTCATCAATCAAACTCTTCTCAAGTTCAAGAGACAAATAGACCACAACACAATAATCATGGGGATTTTAATACACCTCTCTCACCACTGGAAAGATCTTCCAAACAAAAGTTGAATAAAGAAACTATAGAACTCAATAACACAATTAATAACTTAGACTTAATTGACATATATAGAATATATCAACCAACATCAGGTGGATACACTTTTTTTCTCAGCAGCACATGGATCCTTCTCAAAAATAGCCCATATATTATGTCACAGGGCAACTCTTATCAAATACAAAGGAGTAGAAATACTACCATGCATTTTATCCAATCATAATGGAATGAAATTGGAAATCAATGATAAAATAAGGAAGAAAAATTCCTACATCACATGGAGAATGAACAATATGCGACTGAATGAACAATGGGTTATTAAAGACATCAAAGAGGAAATTAAAAAATTCTTAGAGGTAAATGAAAACACAGACACAACATATTGAAATCTCTGAGACACTATGAAAGCAGTACCAAGAGGAAAGTTCATTGCATGGAGTTCATTCCTTAAAAGAAGAAAAAGCCAACAAATAAATGGCCTCACCCTACATCTTAAAGCTCTAG